ATTTTAGTTTATTGATACAAATTTAAAGTTAATTTTTTTATACTATATATATACTTCTACTCTTGTTTAAGGTATTATGTCTGTGCAGCTCATTTAAATTGTAATGGATAATTAAGAAATACAGACTAGGGCTGGAGAGATGGCTCAGAGGTTAAGAGCACTGACTGCTCTTCCAGAGGTCCTGAGTTCAATTCCCAGCAACCACATGGTGGCTCACAACCATCTGTAATGAGATCTGGTGCCCTCTTCTGGCCTGCAGAGATACGTGCAGACAGAATACTGTATACATAATAAATAAATAAATCTTTAAAAAAAAAAAAAAAAAAAAGAAATACAGACTAATAATTAGTCTTCTATGATTATCAAACTTATAGTCATGTTAGTTAAATTTTCTAGGTATACATAGATATATTTCAATTAGGTAGGTAATCTTCAAACACTTCAAAGACCTACAGAATATGGCATTTAAAATGTTTTTAAAAACTTAGACTTTTTAGACAGTGAGACACATCTGCTCCTGGCAGCATAGATTTATTTCAAAGAGAAAGATGGGAATTGAAGACACTCCATATGGAGTTTATCTTCTTCTTGGCAAAAAATAGCCATTTGGGCAAGAAACTGTTCTTGCCTGGACTGCTTGACAAAATGTTGTATCAACTGGACATTCAGGACCCATAGGAAGGTGACCACTGGACTTTGCAAGGTAAAATGGTCCTTCAGGTTCCTACTTTGCAAAAGAAACAGTCAGACATTCTACAGGACACAGAGAGAAGTTACTGAGAGACTCTAGACCTATGGGTTGAAGATGGATGCCCCAACATTACAGAACTCTGGGTGACTGTCCAGACAGGCAGCTGTCTCTGTCATTTCCAGAATTTTGGAAGTTGCTTACAATGCATTTCCTGTTTATTGAGGTAATATTGTATCCTTCTGAGGTCTTTGATGTAGTTGAAGACTAGATAGCTATAATTTTCCTTAGTTATGATAAAAGATAAGTTAGATATGAAACCTTAGACTCACAAATATAGGATAAATAGAATATTTTCTTTAGTTTTGCCAAATACAAATAGACTATATATTGTAAGTGTAATTCTTGCTTGATAATTGTTCTATTATATGTAATTTTACTATGTTAAAGTTAAAATCTTCCCTTTTGATTAGACATAAAAGGGGAAGTGCGGGGTTGGGGATTTAGCTCAGTGGTAGAGCACTTGCCTAGCAAGTGCAAGGCCCTGGGTTCGGTCCTCAGCTCTGGAAAAAAAAAGGGCGGGGAAAGTACTGTGGAATGTCATTCTGTACGCTGTGAATGTGTGTTGCTATGATTGGTTGAAAATTAAATGATGGTTGGCCAGTAACCAGGCAGGAAGTATAGGCAGGATAAGCAGACAAGGAGAATTCTGGGAAGAGGAAGGCTGAGTTGGGAGATGCCAGCCAGCCATTCAGCATGTAATGGCACACAGGTAAAGCCATGGAACACGTGGCAACATATAGATTAACAGAAATGGGCTGAGTTTAAGTGTAATAGCTAGTCAGTAGTTAGCCTGAGCTAATGGCTGAGCAGTTTTAATTAATATAAGTCTCTGTGTGTTTACTTAGGTCTGAGTGGCTGCAGACTGGGTGGGACACAGGAAAACTTCAGCTACATTAACCCAAATTTATTTATTGATTGATTAGTTTTTCAAGACAGGTTTCTCTGTGTCCTGGAACTTGCTCTGTAAACTAGGCTGGCCTTGAACTCAGAGATCCACCTACCTCTGCCTCCCAAGTGCTGGGATTAAAAGTGTATACCACTGCCTGACAAACAAAATTTAAATGGTTAAAGCAAAACTAAACCAAACCACACTAGAATCTAGGAATTTGCAGCCATTAAAAACTAGTTTATAAAAAACTAGTTTAAAAAACTAAAAACAGGGTTTGTAGTACTTTTACCATTATAGACCACAGGAGTTTTTTAAAAATTCAGTAAGCTCCCAAGTGATGATAGCACACATCTTTAATCCCAGCACTCAGGTGCAGAGGTAGGCAGATCTCTGAGGCCAGCCTGGTCTACAGAGTGAGTTCCAGGACAGCCAGGGCTACACAGAGAAACCCTGCCTTGAAAATAACAAAGTAAACAGACAAAATCTTCAGTAAGTTGGGGCTGGAGAGATGGCTCGGCAGTTTTAAGAGCACCAACTGTTCTTCTAGAGGACCCACATGGTTCCAGGGGTCCGCCACTACATGTGGTACAGACATACACACTGGCAAAACACTCATATACATAAAATACAAAATAAAAATTAAGAAAAATTCACAAGGATAGACAGATAAAAGCAAAATCTCATATATATTCTTTAATTTTACATTTACTCACGTGTGTGTAGCACCCACACACCACAGCATGTGTGGAGGACAGAGGACAACTTCCTGCAGTTGGTTCTCTCAAAAAAAAGAAAAAATAATAATAAAATAAAACAAAGACCGACCTGTAGGAAGGCAGGCTGACGCAAGGCTTTTCAGTCCCTGATTAAAGGACAAAGGATCGCTAGAGGACTTGGCAAGGTCTGGTCTAGGGCTGGACCAGGGCCTTGAAGGATTGTTTCAGTTTGTGGGCACCTGACTTTTCTCCCTTGAAAAAACTGGCGTTATCAGTCCCAAGACTGTGCTTGGTGCATGGTGCACTTGAGATAACCTGGGTTCTCTCTGTGCAACACAGCTTGCTTAACTTCCTGCTGGCATCCCATCGTGTGGTTGCTCCCTGCTGACTCTGGCCCATTTTCCTCCTACAAACTGTATATAAGATACACTGTGTGTGTGTGTGTATATGTATATATATATATATATATATATATATATATATATATATATAAAATTTATTTATTTCTATGTGCATTGGTGTTTTGCCTGCATGTATGTCTGTGTGAAGGTATTGAATCCTGGAGCTACACACAGATGTGGGCTGCCATGGAGGTGCTGGGAATTGAACCTGGGTCCTCTGGAAGAGCAGCCAGTGCTCTTAACCATGGAGCCATTTCTCCAGCCTGATACTGGTCTAAGATATAGCTCAGGTAAAACCTCCTGACCTTACAATTTCCTATCTATATTTTCTGGTCTCTTGGTCCTTCCTCTCAGGAACCTGTCACTGAAGAAGCTGCTGATCCAGATCACCAGCCAACCATAGTGACTGTCACCCATACCTAAGTCACTTCCTAGGAAGACAGACTTGAAAAAATTCAGAAAAGGAAGAGCAACTCTGGGCAGCAAATGTTTAAACTTTTGACTCCAGAGAATGCAAGATGATGAGTTTGTAAAGTTCGAGATGGCAGCTAAAAGCTGTACCGTGAAGTTAAACCAGGAAGTAAGATTAACACACAAGTTTTAGGGTTCAGGAGGCAACAGGTTCTAGCCTTTGGACATAACATAGCAATAAGCAAAGCACCTAAGGACAAACCCAGGGCTTCTCCAGGTAGAAACCAAAGGACACATGGCTAGCGTGGTCAGCTTGATAGAATCTATAATCATCTGGTGTTGGAGCCCACTCTGCATGGGAGGTTGATTGGACCACCGGCCTGGATACCAGGACTTTGTAAGGGTCTAACTAATAAGGGGGAGGTCTTTTCTTCCATCCCTTGGCATTGTTATAAATAGATCTTTGGAATAAAGTTCTGGACCTGTTTGGATAAAGATAGAGGCCCACCCGAGTCTACCTTGTGTTTTCTCTCTCCCTCTATTTCTAAGTCTCTTATCCCTCAATCCTCAAGAGTTCCTGGGGTAAATAAGTGTGGTGGCTGGTCCACCACAATCTGGAAGACTGGTCTCTGGATATGCATGCAAGGGACTGTCAATAGATGTGGGAGATGTAGTGTTAATTGTGGGTAGGCCCATTCCTGGGCAGGGTATTCTGAAGTGGAAAGAGCTGAGCAATAGTAATCTTTTCTGCTTCTTCCTTTCTTTTTATCTTCTTTTTTTCCCGCCCCCTTCCTTTCTTTTTAAAGGTTTGTTTTTCTTTTATGTGTATGGGTGTTTTACCTGCATGTATGTATGTGTACCACGTATGTCTGGTGTCCTCAGAGGCCAGAAGAGGGCTTCGGATCCCTGGGAACTGGCGTTGCTCATAGGGAGGACTAACAAATCTCTGTAACTTCCGTTCCTAGGGATTCATCATTCTCTTCTGGCCTCCAGGGCAACTGAACACAGGTGGTGCACAGACACACATGTAGGCAAAACACCCGACGCATCAACTGAACACATGTGGTGACACCCGACGCATTAAAAACTCTAGTACCGAGTCACGGCAGCTCTAGCAACCTGGAACTCGTTATATCAACCAGGCTGTCCTTGAACTCATGGAGAGCCACTTGCCTCTGACTTTGCCACCACACTTTCACTTTTTAGAAATAAGTCTACATTGAACAGCCACGATTCAGTCATTTAAATTTATTTATTTTCCAGAATATGAACTAATGCCAATAGAAACCCAAATGAAGTGATATAGTGCTAATCTTCAATCTTTTTTTTTTTTTTTTTTTTTTTTTTTGGTTTTTCAAGACAGGGTTTCTCTGTGTAGCTTTGCGCCTTTCCTGGAATTCGCTTTGGAGACCAGGCTGGCCTCGAACTCACAGAGATCCGCCTGGCTCTGCCTCCCGAGTGCTGGGATTAAAGGCGTGCGCCACCACCGCCCGGCTGCTAATCTTCAATCTTAAGCAATTATCAGTTGTTCCAGCAGAAAGGTTAAGGCTTGTGTCAACAAATCTAACGTTATCAACTCCCCTGGGACATTTTTTCCACTCCATTATACTGTGTTCTCAATAGTATAATGTTCTCAATTTTTTCATGATGCAAATGCCATGAGAGTTAACAGGTTAAAATGTTTTCTCTACTGTGATTTTATGAACAGAGTCCTTATTAGCCAGACATGGTGGCATACATCAGGATCAAGAGTTCAAGGCCAGTCTGGGCCCTATCTCAAAACAAAACAAACAAAAAAATCACCACACAAAAAATGCACACATACACACACATACCACAAAAGGTGTATTTCTTTCACCTTTAAGCACAATGATTGTAGAGACTGGACTGCAACTGAGGGGGCCAATTGACCCCCCAGGTAAGGCTGCTAGTGGCTTACCACGAAGCCGGGTACTTAACAGCAAGAAACTAGCTGCGACCTCCAATCGTCCTTCAGCCCGCACCAATGATTACATCTTCTGAACTAGAAACCACAGCACGTGGCTGTGGCAAAGGGTTTTCTGTTGTTTCTGGGTGTAAAAAGTGACCTGAGTGATTTATATGCCAAATATTGGCCACCAAGCATTTTAACAGCTTATGACAAGATGACACAATCTTTCAAATCTGGATTGTCCCAGGAAATTTACTTAATAAAGTCACCAAAAATACAGCAGTGCCACAGCTGAGGGCTCTCCCTCTACTTAATCTACAAGGAAGGACAGTTACTGTCTTTAGTACCTCTTCCAGGAGGAAGCAAGCAAGAAACGAAGACGTCAGCCACCATGATTGAAGTCCAGGCAACGGTCAAATAAGGGAAGATAACTATGGTTACTATGTCAGAAAGTGGGGACCACAGGCGCGACATGCTATACCAGGAAAGTTAGAGCCTGGAAAGGATGATCACTCCCAACTGAGGCTTATGGCTCCCAGGCGGATGTGTGTTGAGGAGTCTTGTTGACTATGTTAACGTGAAAGTTCAGAGAAGTAACACCAGCACAGCAGGCGGCGGCGGGGCTCGTGTACCAGCCACACACCCACATCAGGGTTTCTGTTAGTTTCTGGCTCCCAATCCGTCCTCAGTGTAGATCATTTAGGCTGGAAAGTCTGGAAAATTCCACCTTATAAAATACCTTTGTTTTAAAAAACATATATTCAGTGATTAGCAGTAAAAATGTGAAACTAAGAATTTAGTAGTTAAACTGTTAATTACTCAAAGTCATGGCGTACTGGGATTAGCAGCAGTACAACCGTGAAGCCCTCTGAGTACCTCCAAGTCTCCGTGTTACTTAAAACATACTGAATTTCTCATTTAATCTCTAGTCTGCTCATTTTTCTTTACTTATAGAGAGGAAAAAGGCCAACCCATCATCTGCTCTAGAGCTACACAAATGTGATGAAGATTTCCAGAAGATCAATGAAGTGAGGAGGAGAGATTTCCGGCTGCTGTCTGGAGCATATGGACGTGTCCCAGGGAAGCTCAGAGCTTGGACAGCAGGGGTTTCAAGTGCTTGTAGTAGGACTCGTGGACCTGCGTGAGAGCAGAGGATGCCAGTGAGGACCTGTCCCCTGAGTTAGCATTCTTCTCTAAACACCAACACCACTTTGAACTGAGAAAGTAGTGAACCTTACACAGACACAAAGATAATTATTTTATGTTTGTTTTGTCTTGTTTTTTAAGCCAGGGGCTCATTAGATAGCCCAAGCTGACCTCAAACTCATAGAGATCTATCTGCTTGCCTCTGCCTCCCCAGTGCTAGGATTAAAGATGTGGCCCACTATGCCGGGCCTTTATTTAAAAAAAAAAAAGTTTTTTAAATGTATGTATTATACTATTTATTTATGTGTGTGTGTGTCCGTGTGTATGTTCCTATGTGTTCAGGTGCCCATGGAAGTCAGAAAGGGTGCTGGGCTGGCCCCTGGAGCTGAAGTCATTATGTGAGCCACTCAACACAGGTGGTAGGAACCAAATCCAGGTCCTTTGTAGGCGCATCAAGTACTCTTAATAGCTGAACCCCTCCTGCTCCATACTTATATGACACTCAATGACAGAGTCCTTGCCCAGCATTCAGTGAGAACCTCAGAAGTTGACAGACACTGTTTTTGTTTGTTTTACCTCCGTTTTGTTCAGTGGGGACTTCTTGGCCCACTCAAACAAGTTCTCGTACACATTCCCGTCATAGCGGCCAAGGACAGAGCCGAGTGCCATATCCTTAAAGTCAAAGGCATCCACCAGAGCAACAGCATTGGGGCGGATCAGTGTGAGCAATTCCAGTATCCGGCTGTTTACTTGTGACATCTGAGCCCCTGTGATGATGTTCCCCTGGGGGAAAATGAAACAAATGACTAAAGCTATGTCCAGACCAGACCTTTATACACACATAACTTTAAAACAGACAACTGTTAAGTCAAACGAACAAGCACAAAAAAGGGCTTCTGCGTCCAAAGTACTGACCTCAAGAAAATCTCCTCCTTTCTGGCTGATGCCGTAGAGAGAATACAGGAAACACAGATTCCTCAGGACAGCCTGGACGGCTTTGTCTTGGATCTTGGGGAGTTTGTCTGAAAAGATCTTAACTACCACGTAGTGGCAATGAGCCTGGAAGAAGACAAACAGCGGGGTGTGGGACCCTTGACAAGGTGGGTGTGGTGGCCTGTGTCTAGTTCCAATGTTTGGGAGGCTGAAGCAGGAGGACTGCCATGACTTTGAGGTCAGTTTTAGCTACTTGGTGAGTTCCAGATCAGCCTGGGTTAGCGAACGTCTGTCTCAAAAAGGCTACCACAGTGACCCGGGCACCAAGGAAGGGGCAGCAGAGCAGTGAGGGGAAAGCCACCACTGACCTCACTCGCCCGAACAAGGTCAACAGAAGTTAGGTTCCATGCTACTTCCTTGCTCTTCCTGTGACTCATATGAGTCTTTAGGTTTTTTGCAGCAATTTCTACTAATCTGTTAAGCAAGAAGGAAGAGTAGAGAGCTGAGGAGACCGTCATGGTTCCCACTCCTCTACTCGGCCCCAGCCTGGAAGGCCCCACAGCTGGCCTCTTACCCTGAGGGGAGCTCACCTGGCTGCACGAAGCTTGTAGGCTTCAGTCAAGCTGTCCAGGCTGTTGATGTCCACCACAGTTGGCCAGACTGCCACCTGCTGTGGCTGGATACGCTGACTGGGTAGGTCATTCAAGTAGGACACCATGCCACCCACCAACTTCCCCGAGTGCACCTGGTCATAGATTTTCATCAAGAACCTAGAAATCACCAAAACACATGCTTTTAGTAACTCTACTGAAATGACTTCACAGTCTGACCAGGTGCTGGCTAACTTTATGTCAACTTGATACAGGCTAGAGTCATCTGAGAGGAGGGAACCTAGGAAAGAAGTTGGTACCAGGATCGTGGGGTATTGCTGTGACAGACCTGACCATGTCTTTTTTCAGGGGAAGACTGTGGAAGGACTGTGGAACTTTGGACAAGGAGAGCCACTGAGTGCTCAAAGCTTGGTGAGCTGTCATGTAGAAACTTGGGAGGTAAGAATGTTAAGAAAAATGCAGACAACAGAGGCCTAGCCTGTGAGGTTTCAGAGGAAGCAAAGATCCTGCCATTGATTCTTGGGAGCTCAGTGGGCTGTTCTGTAGGAGTCTGGAAGGTAATGTTGAGATCAGTGCAGAGGATGGAGGCCTGGCCTGTGAGGTTTCAGAGGAAGCAAAGATCCTGCCAGGCCTTTTGTGTGAAGAATCTGTGATTCTGGTCAGCTGGAGCTGAAGGATCGGCTGTGATTACCAAGAGACCAGAACCGCTAAAGTTAAACCTTTGCTTTGCTGGGACAATGGATGCTAGTCTGCTGGGGCTGAGGAATCAGCTGTGATTAAGAGGCCTGAGGTGAAGTCTTCTCGGAAGTGTTTCCTCAGGGCCACCACATAGAAGCAGTGATCCAGAGGTGGCCAAGGTTGTACCTTGTGCTGGCAGCTGAACTTGGTAGTGTAAGAGTCACCCAGGTGGTGCTGGTTTTGAAGGCATGAAGGGGTCATGGAGAGCAGCTGAGGTTTATGCTGTGTGACAGGGCTGGAGTCCCTAAGAGAGCCCAGGAGAGGTTACTGGTGAAGGTGCAGCCCAGGTGCAGTTTTGGATATGCCAGTACCATGGGGTGACCACCGAGAGCAGCAGCAGCGGTGGTGGATGACCACCGAGAGCAGCAGCAGTGGATGACCACAGAGAACAGCAGCAGTGGTGGATGACCACCGAGAACAGCAGCGGTGGATGACCACAGAGAACAGCAGCAGTGGTGGATGACCACCGAGAACAGCAGCAGCGGTGGATGACCACAGAGAACAGCAGCAGTGGTGGATGACCACCGAGAACAGCAGCAGTGGTGGATGACCACCGAGAACAGCAGCAGCAGTGGATGACCACCGAGAACAGCAGCAGTGGTGGATGACCACAGAGAACAGCAGCAGTGGTGGAGGACCACCGAGAACAGCAGCAGTGGTGGATGACCACCGAGAACAGCAGCAGTGGTGGATGACCACCGAGAACAGCAGCAGCAGTAGATGACCACCGAGAACAGCAGCGGTGGAGGACCACAGAGAACAGCAGCAGCAGTGGATGACCACAGAGAACAGCAGCAGTAGATGACCACAGAGAACAGCAGCAGTGGAGGATGACCACCGAGAACAGCAGCAGCGGTGGAGGACCACAGAGAACAGCAGCAGCGGTGGATGACCACAGAGAACAGCAGCAGTGGAGGATGACCACCGAGAACAGCAGCAGCAGTGGATGACCACAGAGAACAGCAGCAGTGGATGACCACCGAGAACAGCAGCAGTGGATGACCACAGAGAACAGCAGCGGTGGATGACCACCGAGAACAGCAGCAGCGGTGGAGGACCACAGAGAACAGCAGCAGCGGTGGATGACCACAGAGAACAGCAGCAGTGGAGGACCACAGAGAACAGCAGCAGCAGTGGATGACCACAGAGAACAGCAGCAGTAGATGACCACAGAGAACAGCAGCAGTGGAGGATGACCACCGAGAACAGCAGCAGCGGTGGAGGACCACAGAGAACAGCAGCGGTGTGGATGACCACCGAGAACAGCAGCAGCAGTGGATGACCACCGAGAACAGCAGCAGTAGATGACCACAGAGAACAGCAGCAGCGGTGGAGGACCACAGAGAACAGCAGCAGCAGTGGATGACCACCGAGAACAGCAGCAGTAGATGACCACAGAGAACAGCAGCAGCGGTGGATGACCACTGAGAACAGCAGCAGCGGTGGAGTGGAGCCAGCTGGAGCCTAGGAGACAAGCTGTGTGTGCTGCAGAGGACGGAGCTGGAGAGGTGACCCAAGCCCCTTGGAGCCCAGATGATCATGAATGAATCCCAGACAGTGGACATTAAATTATTTATCTGTTGGGAGTTTGGTTTTGCTTTGTTCAGATTATGACTGTGCCCTAGTTCTTCTCTCTTCAAGTAAGAAAGTATTTAATTTATTTTTTATTTTATAGGAGTCCACAGTTGAAAGACTGAATTTTTTTTAAGTGACTTCGCTTCTGTTAAGTCACAGTATTTTTTTTTTAAGATTTATTTATTTATTATGCAGAAGAGGGTGCCAGATCTCATTACAGATGGTTGTGAGCCACCATGTGGTTGCTGGGAATTGAACTCAGGTCCTCTGGAAGAGCAGTCGGTGCTCTTAACCTCTGAGCCATCTCTCAAGCCCGAAAGACTGAATTTTTTAAAGTTTAGATTTTAAGAGATTTTGGATTTTTACAAAGACTGAATTTTTTTTCCGAGACAGGATTTCTCTGTGTAGTTTTGGTGCCTGTCCTGGATCTCGCTCTACAGACCAGGCTGGCCTCAAACTCACAGAGATCTGCCTGGCTCTGCCTCCCAAGTGCTGGGATTAAAGGCATGTGCCACTGCCATCCAACCAGAGACTAAACTTTTAAAGTGCAAGAAATGGTAAAGATTGTGGGACTTTCAAGTTGTAATATGTCTTATATTTGTGGTATTTATTAATCTGAGATCTTGGGGATGAACCAAAAAAAGGGGGGAAAGATTATGTCTTAAAAGGCCCTTTCCTCCCCAAGTTGTACTGGTCATGGTGTTTCATCACAGCAACAGTACCCTAACTGAGGCAGACCACAAATAAGTGAGTCATGACGGAAGCAAACCATCCCTGCCTTTCATGATGAAGTCTGTAAAGACTGCTTCTCACCTGGCCGTCTGTAGCATCATGACAGTGTTCTCTCCCTCGAAGGTGCAGGCTGGGGTAAAAGTGACGTAAATATTTGGAATTCCACTGCTGTGAGAATAGCCGTGCCCACCACAAGCCATCCGACATTCTTCAATACCAGCATTGGCCGTCCATGTAGTAAAAGCCTTAAGCCCAGCAGTGAGGGCGTGAAGCTAGGGGACAAGCACAGGCCATGAGAACCCTGGCTAAAACCCACCTTCTAACAGGAAAATACATCCTCCTGAAGTGCGCCGGTCAGTCACTGTCAGAACCAGTTGTGTGCATGCCCACTGAAGAGGTGGGCATCTGCAATCTGAATGAGCAACGCTCTCACACCTTTCTCAACGGTTGTACTTGGCCAGTCACCCCTTTCTTTAAATTCTATTAATAAAAATTCGAGCTTCACATATGGTCCGCCTTTAATTTTAAAAAGTTCCAAGGTTCTGTAATTCCTTTCAGGAAATTCCAACATGCAGTTTCTGCTGGATGTCTGCCAGCAGGTAAACATGAAACCTGAGGGTATCTAAGGAAATTACAGGTATCTAGGGAGGAATGAGAAAAGCACGTGCGTACCTCGGGCAGCTCACTCAGGTCCCCTTGGCCAATGCTCTCATTAATTCGAAGGTAGGTCTCCTTCATGTACCTTCCTACAAAGTGGAAGGCATAGGCAGTGGCCAGCAATGGGAAGAGTTTATACTGCTGGGTTTGAAAATCCAAAATCTGTGGTTCTGGTTCACTAAGTAACAGAAAAAAGGAAAAATGAGTAAACCCTGCCTTGTATTACCCCAGGTTTCAGTCCCAGTTCCCTGACACAGCAGCCGAAGTCACCCGTATACAGGTCCTTCCGGTACAAGAGCAGCTGTCCTCACCCTTGTCATTTTACAAATGGGGAAACGGGGAGATTAGGAAATCTGTCTGAGGTCACACAGCTCAAAATGGTGATTCTTTGGCTCCGTAAGGTCATATTCTTTTCTTTTTCCCTCCTGGTTCTTTGAGATAGAGTCTCTCTTCACAGCCCTGACTGTCCTGGAACTCATTCTGTAGACCAGGCTGACCCTGAACATAGAGATCCACCTCCTGAGTACTGGGATTAAAGGTGTATGCCTCCACACCCAGCAATAGTCCTAACCATTCTACTGCACTGCCTGAAGGCAGTCTTCCAACTGCCTCAGTGTTTCCCCTATGACTGAGGCAGCCATATCTCACGGCTACACAGAAACGCAAGCTGAACAGCTCACGGTGAAGAAGAAACAACAAAGGCCACCACAAGCTCAACACACTGTGTTCTGACCACAATCCCGGAGATGACACCATACGGAAGTAATACTTTAAAGTGTTAAGAATTGACAAAGGTCCTGGGGTTGAATATGAACAAGATGACTTTGAATATGTGCATCAAACTGTGAGATAACAATAAATATTTTTAAAAATAATTTATGGGCTGGAGAGATGGCTTAGCGGCTAAGAGCACTGACTGCTCTTCCAGAGGACCCGGGTTCAATTCCCAGCACCCACATGGCAGCTCACAACTGTCTGTAACTCCAATTCCAGGGGACCCGACACCCATGGCAAAACACCAATGCACATAAAATAAAAAATTTCTAAAAAAATTTATTTATTTTTGTTTTATTTGTATTGGTGTTTTGCCTGCATGTATGTCTGTGTGAGGGTGTCAGATCTTGGAGTTAAGACAGTTGTGAGCTGTCATGTGGGTGCTGGGAATTGAACCCAGGTCCTCCGGAAGAAGAGCAGTGAGCGCTCTTAACCACGGAGCCATCTCTCCAGCCTAATAAACATTTTTTTAATTAGCAGTTTTGTGAGGTTTTTAATTTTTAAAGACAGAAGCAGTCTGACTGCCTGCCCTTGATTCCTTGACATCATGCATGCTGGCTAGGTGGTGTGCCCTTGGGAGGCCTAGCATGTGTAAGCTCTGGCTCAACACCTAGCACACGGGGCTGCTGCCAGGGTGGAAAGGCGGATGAAGTGGCTATTCTGATCTAGTCTCTTAAGAACAGGGTCAAAGCCATCAGCACGAGCCCATCTCAGACCCTACCCTCACCCTGGCTTGATTTCAGACTGGTGCCTCACAGCGCTGTATCGTATGGCAATGGTGCATGCCTTGGACAGACACCGAGCTGCATCTCCCACGAGGAAGGACCTGACGAACACCATGGTCCCATATGTCAGCTTGTTATTCAAGGGCTTCACATATGTGCCATCAGGCTTCACCTGAAAAAACAAAACAGGCCTGAAGTGTCTTTCTGTGAGGCCAAGAAACCATGGACTGATTCTCCAAGTGTGTCTCCTGGAACAGGAGGGCCTGGCAACTGGTCTGAAACACTCAGTTTCGCCCCTGCCTCTGACCTTCTGAACCAGAGATTTTGGGAGCAAGGGCTTGATTTAAGACATGGGCTTAGCAGAGCAGTGGTGGCGCCCGCCTTTAGTCCTTGCACTGGGAGGCAGAGGTGGGCGGATCTCTCCGAGTTTGAGGCCAGACTGGACTACAGAGCGAGATCTAGGACAGTGAGGGCTACACAGAGAAACCCTGTCTCGAAAAACAAAACCTAACAAAAAAGACATGGGCTTGCTATGCAGCTCAGCCTGACCTTGAACTCGCTTCCTCTGCCTCAAGTGCACACCATATTTGGCTCACAATCTAAGTTCCAACTGGCATTCCTGATGACTCCAAGTTGCTGAAGGGCTTGGGAACCTCAAGTCACTAACGAGGTGATACTTTTCACACCCTCCTCAACTGCTTCTAAGTCACTGTCAAGAATGAAAGAAGTTCAGAAGGAAGAGCATGTCACCTTCTGCAACTAACATTTAGAGGCTGGGGCAGGAGGATTGCTTTGAACCCTAGCTTAGCTGGTCTGGGATATATAGTGAAAACTTGACGATAACAAACCTAAAACCAAATAAAATAAATAAATATACCTGGGTGAGCCGGGCGGTGGTGGCACACGCCTTTAATCCCAACACTCGGGAGGCAGAGCCAGGCGGATCTCTGTTAGTTCGAGGCCAGCCTGGTCTACAGAGCGAGATCCAGGACAGTCACCAAAACTACACAGAGAAACCCTGTCTCGAAAAACCAAAACCAAAACCAAAAACCCCAAACAAACAAAAAATACCTGGGCGTATTTCATCAGCATGTTCTCTCTAGGAATACGGTAATTGTCCATCTTCAGGTAGCCATTATCCATCTCTTCATAACCAAATTTGGGGCCAATATCTCCAACAGTAATACCTACCGAAGCAGGAAACACATGAGATATTAACGCTTTTGAATCCTTGCCTTCCTATATTGTTTAATTGTGCCTTATACTTTTTGCAGTTTATTTAATTATTTTATTTTTATGTGTGTGGGTATTTTCTGTGCATTTATGTCCATGCACCACATGTGTGCCTGGTGCCCTGGAACTGGAGTTACAGCTGGCTGTGGGCCACCATATGAGTACTGGAACTGAACCATGGTCCTCTGGAAGATCAGCCGTTGTTCGTAACTGCTAAGTCATCTCTCCAGCCCCATGCAATTTTAATTTTTACCTTGACGTCAGATGAACAATCCTTACCTGGTAAGGGCTTGTGGGTTCCAATTTCACGGATAGGGACAACAAAGGCATGCAATCCATAGCACTCCCCTTGAGTGATGAGCTGAGCAAGAACTATTGCATGATTGGAAGTCTTCCCAACTGCAACATCAAGAACAGAGGAGAAGTTAGTGAGCTGTTCCTGCTTCTGAATTTTTCTTTTCCTTTCTTTTTTAAGGTAGAGTCTCCTGAACCCCTGATCCTCCTACCTCTGTGTCCTGAGTGCTGGGATTACAAGCATGTACCACTACACTTGGGTGTGTTTTTGTGTTTTTACTGATTATATTACACTTATTTGGGGGGAAGTAGCTCATGCTTGTAATATGGCACCCATGCAGAGGTCAGAAGAAAACTTGTGGGAACTGTTTTCTCCTTCCATCATATGGGTTCTGGGGATTGAACTCAGGTCATTAGGGTTGGCACAAGTACCTTTACCTCCTGAACCCTCTCACTGGCCCTGTCTCGAATTTCTAAATGGTTGAAACACAAAAGTATGTGAAAGCAAGTCCTTCCTGTGACAACCTCACACGAAGTTTGTGGACAAAGCTTATAGCTTTGTTCTTATTTTATTTTTTGGCAGATAAATCCTACTTTAAACAAAAAGGTGTATCTTCAATTTTTTTTTAACATTTATTATTGTGTTTGTGTGTGCACACCAGCATGAGGAGGTGACACACATGTGCCACAGTGCACGTAGAGGTCAGGACAACTTGAAGAACTCAGTTCTTTCCTTCCACCATATGGTTTATGGGGATCAAACTCAGGTTGGAGGCTTATACCGAATGTGCCTTTCCCTGCTGAGTCAGCTCTCTGTTCTGGGGCCTGTCCCAGCTCTTTATCTCACTCTATTCTCAGGAATGCCTTTATTCTCTCTCTCTCTCTCTCTCTCTCTCTCTCTCTCTCTCTCTCTCTCTCTCTCTCTTTTGGTTTTTCGAGACAGGTTTTCTCTGTGTAGTTTTGGTGTCTGTCTTGAATCTCGAGCTGTAGACCAGGCTGGCCTTGAACTCACAGAGATCCGCCTAGCTCTGCCTCTTGAGTGCTGGGACTAAAGGCGTGCGCCACCGCCACCACCACCCGGCTGCTTTTATTCTCTTTAAGAAACTGTCTCTATTTCCATCACACAACAAAGTTCTAGTCAGAAGTGGTTGCTCACTCTAGGAATTCCAACACTTCAGAGGCAGGTAGATTTCTGTGGGTTCTAGGCTGGCCAGGACTACAGAGAGAAAACTTCTCTTAAAAAAAAAAAAAAAAGCAGAGGCTATTCTGAGATACTGAGAATCTGAGACCAGCCTGGATTACACAGCAAGATCTTGCTCCCCAAAACAAAAATAAACAAAGAGAGAATGTAAATAATCAACTAGTTATACCTGAAATAGACATTCCAACTCAGAGTGAAAGGAGATACTAAATATAAATTTTATATCAAAGCCAATTAAATAAAAATCTGAAAGTAACTCAATTTTTGACAGAAATAAGAAATAGGGAAGTTATACTGGGTGTGGTTGCTCATGCCTTTAACCCCAGAACTTGGGAGGCAGAGGTAGGTGGATCTCTGTGAGTTCGAAGCCAGCCTGGTCTACAGAGCGAAATCCAGGGCTGTTAAATGAGAAACCCTGTCTTGAAAAAGCAAAAAGAAAAGAAATAGGGAAATTTATTTGATTTTTTGAGACAGAATCTCACTATGTAGCTCTGACTGGCCTGGAACTCACTCTGTAGACCAGTATGGCTTTGTACTCATGGCGCTCTACCTGCCTCTGCCTCTCTGAGATCAAAGGGGTGTACTCACACTTGGCTAGGAATTTTATTTTAAGTGAGGACTATGGAAGCTATGGTATGTGGGGACATTTAGATGAAAAATTAAACCAAGTGTTGTAAGACAGCCATTACTGTTGCGCTTTTACAGTAGATAAGCAGAAGTAACATCTTATGATAGTTTAGGAATTTAACTATTTTTTTACTTCACAATTATATTCTCATATAAGGTCGACATTCTAAATATAACCTCCTAAGTCCTCAAAATGTTCAAAAACAACAACAACAAAACAACAAATGTTTTCTGTTTTTGTTTTTTTTTTAAATCAACTTACGTCCCCCAGGCCACCACTTAATAGAAGTCACAGTGGGGCTGTTGAGAATGAACTCTTGGGTTTTGGGGTCGTATGTGGCAGTGGTCTCCAGGCCTCGAAGATGAGTTCCTAAGGAAAGAGATCACATGACCTCAGACACAGCGCAGAGAGGAAAGAGTAACAAAACAGACAGTCAAGATTCTCCGCTGAGGCCTGAAAGTTCCAGGCCTCAGAGGAGCCAAGAACCGGGGATGCGTCTGTGGAGGAGCTGTGGGGGATGGATGGGCACACTCCATCCCATTGGTAACATTCCCCTGGCCAGTTCCCCACTAGGCCGCAAGCAGAAGTGCCGTGAGCATTCCACTTCTGAATGGGGCTCAGTGGGTGTGTCATAGTCACTGAAATTAATGAAAAGAAAATGTAAAGGCAGCTCGTGTTCTATACACCAGAGGCAGCTCGTGTTCTATACGCCAGAGGCAGCTCGTGCTCTATACGACAGAGGCAGCTTGTGTTCTATACGCCAGAGGCAGCTCGTGTTCTATACGCCAGAGGCAGCTCGTGTTCTATACGACAGAGGCTTCTACTCTCCTTTAAACCCGGTTCTTTCACATTTTAAAATTACATTTCCTCTGGGTGCACTGCGCATGAGCTGGTGCACACCAGCCACAGCACACACACAACCTGTGTGAGTTAGTTTTCTCCTGCCAGGTGGGTCCTGGGAATTGATCTTGGGTCACCAGGCTTGCCACCATGTACCTTTACCACTGAGCCACATCGCCAGCCTGGCAAGTGCAAGCCATTTCTAAGTTTGAAAAGGAAAACTGCCAGTCTAGCGAACTATTTACTTCTGTACTTCTGGGGACAATAAGAAAACGTGTGACAGAAACAGACTCAGCTGACCTTCCGTACGTTAGAACTTATTTCAGAATGATCACTAAAATGGAAACTAAGAACTTGAAAACATTTATTCATTATGAAAAAAGTGACGTCCTATAATTCTCCTAGAGTCCAGCAATGCCTGGGTCACGCTGGCTTTCCAGGGCCAGGCTCCACCTCAGTGCTCACGGCTCATGAGAGTGAGGAAGCTTGTGTTCAGTCTCGTGTTGCTGGAGCTGGATGGACACTTGCACTCTGAATCCTAGTTGGACACACTGCAATTCTTTGAAAAGCAGTATAGAAAATGTGGGTGTCGTTCTAATAACACTACACTGCAACAAATGCTGAGGACTTCTTCTTAAAAACCAACTACTTGGAGAAGACCAGCCTTCACTGAGCACTTTGAAACATCTAGAAATTTCCAAGCCAAGCAACAGAAATAGACAGTTTGTAAGCAACAGCCTTCAAAGCAGAAGTCAAGAAACAGGCACTGAGTAAACTCCTCTGCCAAAGCAGCCTCTGGTGACACATTAGACAAAGTGTCCTTACCAGGACAGCTGACCTCAACTGTACGCCACTTTGTATCCATGAGGAGCCTATAAAATACTGCTCAGCATTAAGAGGAGGCTGTACAAAATACACATTTTTTTCTGACTCCTCAGAATGGGGGGAGGTCCGGGGACGACACGGGATGGAATGGGACACAGGTATATACGAATGGCAACCAGAGCCAATTCAGAGAACATGAGAAAAACTACCATCTCCAGCCCCACCTGGTTCAGAAAGATGGGTGAGGTGGCAAGATGGGTGAGGTGGCAAGCGTGTGGCAAACAGAGTTTGATGTCAGTGGCCTCAGCAGGACAGCTTAACTTCTAACCTCTGGTCAAACCACCTTCCGAACTTTTCTGATGCACTACATCAAGTACAAGTAACTTCAAGACATACATACAGAATATTTCTGATCACAGGAAGTCAAAGGGCACTCACACATTAACGTGCCCCTCTAGGTAATCATCAGAAAGTAACCAACAGATGGGTTCAGAGCTTACACGCAGATTCCACAGACCGCATGGTAAGTAGGCCTGACTGGTCATTCCCGAGAGTCAGAAAGAACCAACAACCACAGTGATAAAATAACTTCATTTACACTGCCCGAGCCTCCGCTGGGAGCCGGACTCTGCAGAGGCTCACAGAACAGCCAGCAGCATCCTGCCGTGCTCTATATAGATCCGGTTGGCAGGGCCCGCCCACCCAGAAGGTAGACTAAATACACTGTACCATGACCCATCTCTGTCTGGGCATAAGTGCCCGTGATCTCCAAATTCCAGGCCGGCATGAAGAAACGCTCCTGCTGCTCTGCGGTGGCCTGGTGAAGCAAGGTGGGCAGGAACATGCCCAAGTGAAGGTCCAAAGGCTCAGGTCGCCCTCGGTGCACAGAGCTTCGAAGAAATACCAAGGACGGGCATTGGAGGGAAGCATCATCGGGTGTGTGAGAATCAATAATGTGAACAGATAGAGCAGGGAAGGAGAAAAAAAAAAACTGTGAGTATTAACCAATCACGTGCACTTCATCATGGACGGGAGCACTGTCCTTTTCTGTATTACTTTATGATTCGCAACAATGTCCATCTTTCTTAAGTTGGCAGAGTGTGCGGCAGGACGGGCTACGGAGACCCAGACCCGTGTAGCACAAAACAATGTGTAAAGGCAAATTAAATGAAAGGAAACGAAAATTCTGAAAAGGAGACTTGAAGGGGAACAAGGCGTCCTTGGGTGGGACAGAAACAGGAAAACAGGGCCGTTCTCTCTGGGATAAAATGAATTCGGGCTGAGGTTTTCCTGGATGTAATTTTAGTGAAGCGTCTAGACTGGGATCCTTTCTATTTGTTCAGAAAACATCTAGGACAGACCCACAGTCTTCACATGACCAATTTCATCATGGCAGATATTCAGCTCAGCTCTACCGGTGCAAATTAACACAGAAACTGACAGTGCTCTCCATTCCAACAATTCCAGCAATTAAAGACAAGCCATCGCTAGTGAGGACCATTACATTGCAAATCACAGGTCTGTGCGTAACAGGGTCTGCACTCCGTTATGATGCCATTTAATTATCTTAGAGATGAGCCTGGACAGCCTTCCAGTCTTTCAACCTCTCGGCTTGTTCCAGCTTGTTCCCTCTAAGCTGGGGAGGAGACTAGGCTGATATGCTCAGCAAGAGCTCACCAGGACCTCTCCAAGGCAAGTGGCTGCGCCTTCAGCTAACATCCGGACCCAGTGAAATCCCCACTTCATAAGGCAATGAAGATGGGTGGCCGAGTGCCACGTTTGCATCAAAATGATGGTGGTGAGCCAGGACAAGGATTTTGCAACCTAGTCCTGTCTCTGGTTGGCGAGCTTAATGTTCAAGTGAGACATGGACTGAGAAGGTCTAAAATCCAGAGCTGTCCTTGGAAACATCAAAACGGAAACCCCAAATGATTGGCTACTGGCAGAGCAGGTGAAAGGCTGTGGGGACTCTCGGTGCGGCTTTTTTAACTCCCTACGAATTTGCAATCATTTTTAAATTAGAAAAAAATTGAAACTGATTCATGGAATGAGCTGTGATGGTGCACATCTGTAATCCAAGCACATAGGAGGCTGAGGCAGCATTCAAGTTCAAGGCCAGTTTAAGCCAGACAGGGAGATCCTACCTTAGAAACCCAACCACATCAACCAAATCAAAGCAAACTGCATTTGTGAGATGCCTTTCTCACTTATAACTCTTCCAGCTTTTAAAACGCCAGCAATGGGAATGGGGGTAAACAGTGGTAAACAGTTTGCCTTGGGTTTGCTCAAAAACCAAACCACTGTTAATCCCACACACTTAAACCTAGAACTCATCTGGGAGGCCCTGGATTTCAATGTGGGGGGAGCCCCAGGCTGGGGTGACACTCAGAGTAGTGTTCATGTTAGCGTACTTAGACCCTGGTTTAATCCCTAGAGTTTTCCTCCCCAAAAGGCTAGGATCCAAGTCCCCAGGCAGTAACTGACCTAGGCCTGCCACCTAGGGCGGGGAGCAGCTCGCTTTCTGCTTTCAGGAGAGCTGTCTGTGCTGTCAATGACCAGAGACTGCTGGAGAAGGAGCCTGGAAGCGGCCCCCTTCAGACTCCCCTTCAGACCGAGGGAGGTTTGTGCCTGTGCGTCGGGCTAGCGTAAGAACAATACAGTGTTATCAAACACAGGGAGGAAGGCAGGCAGGCACTCCAATCAGACACTGGGACAGAAGAATGTCTGGGGAAAAAAGTGTCTCTGGTAGCTAACATAGGTATTAGTCACACATGGGTAAGATTTAGGAATGCGCAAGAGAAAAGGACAGTTTCTCTACTTGAAGTTAATTATGCATGGCAATGACACACACTACTGTGAGATAAGATATCATAAACTGTATAGCAGTACATTTGGCAAACTGTTAAAGTCAGTTCTTCTAAAGCTGCTATGTTGAAAGGTCTCCTCAGTCTCTCCTTCCACAGGCTACAAAGCTGGAAAGGCTCGCAGCCAACAGCAGGGGAATGATCTGACTGAGCGGCCCTGGGGCTGGGAGTACACAGTCAGTAGAGGGGTGGTCGAGCATGCATGAAGTCAGTTCCACCCAAAGGAAAACCAGGCTGGGACACACACCTAATAATTACACCAGAGGCAGGAAGATTCCCCCCACAAGTTTGAAGCTAGCCTGGTCTACAGTGACTCCACAAGCCCTGTCTCTCACAAACACCCTCCCCAAAAAGATCTGACTAACAGGAAAGAATTAGCTGGTTTCTTCCTGAGAGGACCAAACGAATGGAGTACTTCCCAAGAAAATAAAAAGTTCTGCCATATACCAACTCAAATTCCTGCAGCGCCTTTTGCAATGTGACAAACTGAGATGAGAATTCTGAAGTCCGGAGCTGGTGGTGGCACACCCAAGTAGGCCAGTGCTGAAGGTGAGGGAGGAGGATCGCAAGTTCGAGGCTAGCCTGGGTTATACCTCTGTGAGGCACGGCAGGGCTTGCCTGCGATCCCCACACTGCAGAGGCAGAGGTAAAAGGAATGATGAAAATTGCAGGCCAGCCTGGTCCACACAACGAGAGTTCCGATAGTTAGTAGGACCCTGTCTCAAAACAAAACAGAAAGCAAAGGAGGGGCTAGAGAGATGGAGAGACCTGCTGCTTCCCACAAGACCTGAGTTCATTTTTTGTTTCTTTTGTTTTTGAGACAAGGTCTCACTATGTAGCCCTGACTGGCCTGGAACTTACTATGTGGACCACGTGGGTCTCAAACTCACAGAAATTTGCCTGCCCCTGCCTCCCAAGGGCAGGTGTGCATCACCACACCTGGCTACAAATAAACCCAAAACAACAACTATAAAACCACCAAAGGAAAAAGAAAACTGTAGGCAAGAACACCAAACACATATCTCTTTTGTTTTGGGAGTTTGGTACTGGAGAGTGAGCCCAGGGCCTTGTACACACTGCGCAAGCAACCAATCTCTGAGCTCCACGCCCTGTCTCCAGACACAGGGAAGCACATGTGTACAGTACATTCCAGAAATAAAGTCTTACTATTACAAAACTCTAGAAGAAGCTACGAAGAACCAACAGGAAAAAAGCTGAGAGCTGAGGGACATACAAATGTAGGAAAATGTCTGAGAGTCGCTCTCTCTAAGTCAGTGCTAGAGATGAGCTAACAAACCCAGAAGACAGAGCAATCAGAGGAGAGGTCTGCACCGACTCCAAAAGGACACATTGAGAACATTGAATAAAACGTTTAACACATGAGGCAGGGATGGGGAAATTATTAGATGGACACAATATTCTGAGAAGGTCAATATGCAGATTCTATTTCCATCAATACTCGAAGGAGGGAAAACAGCCCCTTCAGCTCACAGAAGAAAATGCAGGGCTGGAGAGATGGTTCAGAGGTTAAGAGCACTGACTGCTCTTCTAGAGGTCCTGAGTTCAATTCCCAGCGACCACATGGTAGCTCACAACCATCTACAGTGAGATCTGGTGCCCTCTTCTGTCATGCAGGCATCCATGCAGACAGATCACTGTGTACATAATAAATAAATTAATCTTTAAAAAAAAAAAAAAGAAAATGCAGACAGCAAAAGAGGATGTGCATCGGCGTACAGGCTAGTAACAGAAACCGTAACCCGGACTCTCGGGTGTGTACTAACGTGGAGAGAACAAAGTGGCCACCTTGACAGGCTACCGAGACAAAGGGATTCTGAAGGCACTAAAGAAGGGACACGAGGGACTATAATCCCAGCACTGGGAAGGTTGAGGCAGGAGGATCACAAGTTCAAGGCAAGTATGAGCTATTTACAACAAGAACCTGTATTAAAACAAAGCATTAAAGATAGTACAGGCTGGTTCATCTTGGAGTCTCTTATATTATTTTATGCAATACAAACTATGAAATGAGGCTGGGTTTGTAACCCGACACTTGGGAAGTTCAAGGTCATCCTTGGCTCATGATGAGTGTCTCAGAACACAAAACAAAATAAAAACTGTTGGTTTTATTTTTTTATTTTTATCTCCTGGGACTGGAGAGATGGCTCAGAAGTTAAGAGCACTGGCTGTTCTTACAGAGGTCCTGAGTTCAATCCCCAGCACCCACATGGTGGCTTACAACCATCTATAATGAGATCTGGTGCTCTCTTCTGGCCTGCATCCATGCAAGCAGAACACTGTATACAAAATAAATAAATAAATCTTTAAAAAAAATATTTATCTCCTTCAGTGCACTAATTCATTTCTGATAACCCCCAATACTACATATGTTTATGTACATATGTCTGTGTGCGTATACACATATATGTTTTTTCTTCCTTCACTGCAGCGCTGGGGGTCGAACTGAGAGCCTCTGGTGTGCTAGGCAAGCACTGTTCTTAGACAGAAGTTAGATGAGAGCAGCAAGGAAGGGCTACAGATGCCACTCAGTGTAGAGAGCTTATCTAACATGATGGAGATTGGGTTCCATCCCAGCATCAAAGCAGAAAGACAGACGGACAGAAAAAAGTTGAGAAAATTACAATAACCCAAAACCAAGAAGCAAGTCTCATGGGAACCCCCAGGGTTCAGTCAGCTGGGAAGAAGTAGCACAGAGGCCGCAGTGGAGCGGCAATGCAGGAGGACTATTACTCAGGAAATCACGTCTGCTGTCTTCCAAGTTCTGAAGGGAGACAGGAACTTCCTCAGTGAGAGGAATCTGCCAATGCTGTCTTCCAGGGCAGTGCCTGGATGACAGATCTACATTCCTCAACCAAAGTGCTAATGTGAAATGAGGTAAAAGAAACAGTCCCTATGAGGTGATAAGTTCTTCAACTGGTCACCTGCTTTCTGACCTAAAGAAATGTGAGGCTGATTTCCACACTGTTCCTTCAACACTAGAGCCCTGTAGAGTGACCTTCCTCAGCCCAGGCCTGGGCCTTGCCACGAGGCTCACAGAACAGGTTTGATAGATTTCCTGGTATGTCTCAAGAGGAGGGAAGACACACTCTAGAGCAGCTCTTCTCAACATGTGGGTCTCGACCCCTGGGGGGGTCCACCAGCCCTTTCACGGGGGTCACCTAGGACCATCAAAAAAACACAGATATGTACATTATGATTCGTAACAGTAGCAAAATTACAGTTATGAAGTAGCAATGAAATAATTTTATGGTTGGGGCGGGGTCACCACAACAGCATGGGGAACAGTATTAAAAGTTCAGCATTAGGAAGGTTGAGAAGCACTGCTCTAGAGGGAAAAGATAAAACTGACAGGGATACTGTCTACAGGGCTCTGCCTTTTCCTTGATGGGGAGGGATTTTGTTTTAGCCTGCTCTTTACCAGGCAATACTGTCATGATACACATTAACCAACAGACCTGACCTGGGACAGAATGGGGGTGGGGAGGGAGAACACCAAAATGAATGAACAAAACTCCAAGCAGCAAGCCCTCGTCCTCTAACACTGTCCTGACCGTGTTCTCAGAGACAGGACTGAACTGACTCAGATACAATGGCTTTCTCCCCCCAGGGCACCTGTCATCAGTGCTGGCACCCTGAGGAAAGCCCTGGGTGTCTGTAAACAGGCCACACACACACAATCTCGAGTCCCAGCCCTCTCACCTGCCCCCCACTCCCGGCTGCATGGCTCTCTGAGAGGGTCTCACTATACAGCTCAGGCTCACTTCCAACTCCCAATCTTCAGCCTCCCAAGTGCTGGATTATGACTGCTCTACCATGCCCAACTTCCCTCTCCTTCACACTCCCTCCATCTTGGCAGTGAAATATGAGGCAGAACATCTCAAATTTAAAACGTTCATCCTGTTGGGCATGTGGTGCAAACCTACCATCCCAGCACGTAGGAGGCTAAGGAGATGGCCGGTTTAAGGCCAGCCCAGGCTAACAAGGCCAACCTTGTCTCTGCTTTCTTTTGTTTGGTTTTGGTTTTTCGAAACAAGGTTTCTCTTGTGTAGCCCCTGGCTGTCCTTGAACCCACAGAGATCCACCTGCCTCTGCCTCCTGAGTGCTGGGACTAAAGGTATGCACTACCACTGCCCAAATTTGTTTTGGTGTTTTGAAACAGTTTCTCTGTATAGTACTGGCTGTCTTGGAACCGGCTTTGTAGACCAGGCTGGCCCCTCCTGAGTGTCACCATACTTGACGGGCAATCTTGTCTGAAAAAACCAAAGCAGCCAGACACGGTGGTGCACACTTTTAATGTCAGCACTCAGGAGGCAGAAGCAGGTGGATCTCTGTTAAGTTTGACGCCAGCCTGGTCTATAAATTGAGTTTCAGGACAGCCAGGGATGTTACACAGAGAAATCTTGTCTTGACAAACAAACAAACAAACAGCACACAAACAAAAGTAAACCACACCCATTCTCACAGGTGTGGTCCCTGAAAACAATCCTATTCTACACTGAGTCCACAAACATAACTTGCTGAACATGCCCAAGCATTTAGGAAGGATTTAACCAAAAACTACTGGCAGTCAAGGACCCACAGGCCTTCACGGGGAACTGTACAATGAACAGCTGAAGAAAACCACCGGACTCATTTCTCAAACTGGAGCAGCTAGCAGTCAAGGAAAGAGCAGGACAGTCCCCTGCCATCACTGTGTTATTACAATGCATTCTTCTGACGTCACCTCTAGGCACTGCTAAGGCATCCATCATCCCTCTGGAGAACTTCCAACAGACTCCTTCACAGTCACACACGCCAACAGAGTTGGGTGCTCTGATATGCTTAAATGCCACCTCTCCAAGGTGCTCAGTAACTGCTCACACTGGATAAGTGTGACAAACGGTGGCTTTAAGAAGTGACACTGAAGGATGTTCATAGGCCAGAGCCCTGGGGAATAAACTCAAAAAGGGGAAACTGGGCTTTGATGCAACAATTTGAAAATAAATCCTCAAACACATAGCTGCAGGGGAGGAGGAAAAAAAATCAAACGTCAGGAGTCACTTTTCTTGAACTCATGAGGTGGTCACCCCGGGATCGTCAGATGTGGACTAACCGTGGCCCATCTCCGTCTGGGCGTAGGTACCAATTATCTGGAGATCTTTGGACGGATGCATCCATTTCTCTTGCTGAGCAGTGGTGCCCTGATTCAGCAAGGTAGGAATAAACATGGAGTAATTGAGGCCCACAGGTTCCACAAAATTGACCAAATGTAGTCTACGGGAGAGAAAAGAAAAGCGTCTCAGCCTCACGCAGGACACTGCACCCACCGCTCGTCACCGCTCACTCTCGTGAGCTTATCATTGGTGTGTATGCCAAGACATGGGGGTGGAGGCACCGGAGGGCAGAGGGCCTCCTTCCCCTCTAGGTTCCAGAAATCAAGCTCCACCTGTCAGGCTTGGCAGCAAGCACCCTGAGCTATCTTACCAGCCCCCCGACCTCACATGCTTGAGAAAAAAATCTTGGTGCTCAGGATGAAGAATAGAAAATTGAAGACCCTTTCACTAAATGAAATGTAAAATTTACCGTCTACTATATAAAAGCCAAGAGCAGGTCTTATGTGGCAGCTCTTGTTCCCATCACCTCAGGGCCAGATTCCTTCTGTTCCTCTGGCGCAGAATGGACCCGGCTCCTCGGGCAGCTAAGCCTGGTGCCAGCTCTGACCTGCAGCCCGCAGTCTTCAGAATCTCGTCTCATCTTTAAAAGAGGAGTCCTGTATCACCGCTACACTGAATCTGAAACAGTGGATGACTCTGTGGTTACCTCTGCTCTGACTGTGGGTGTCACAGAGTGGGTGTGAGTCCGGCTGCGGTCCTTTCAGGTCTAACTGGCTTGGAGGATCAAAGGGAACTCTACAAACATCCCTCACTATGGAGCCATTAGCAAAAACTCCTGACAATATCGATTTAATGTCTGTTTTTTCTCTCACTACATATCCCTGGCTGATCTAGAATTTACTATGTGGCTCAGCATAGTCTCAGATTCCTGGGAATCCTCATCCATCAGGCCCAAGTGCTGAGACTACAGGCATTCACCACCATGCCCGGCATCAAGAATAGTAGAACAGTCTCTGCCTAGACGACCTAAGCAAATACCCTGATGAATAAGTACGTATTTCAGGGCACGACCATGGATCTCTAAAGGTCACCAGGGTATCTAAGGTGAGAAGTTTAAAAATTGTCCCCAGTGGCCAGTGCACATCGCTTCAGATTAAGGGAACTGCACATGACACTGAAATCCAGCCCGCAACCTTGCCCTCAAACAGACCCCATGACACAAAACTGAGCACCCCAGCCAGGCCTGTGCTTCCACCCCGTGGACTTCCTAGGAGTCTGCTTTGCATTTTGGCCGTGTGCACCCAAAGAACTTGAAGTACAAATGCTGTGTCACCTAAGTGACTTTGATGTCTTCTCAGGGGTTACTAGAAGAGATGTCACCCAGGAGACCTTGGGCTTCACAAGAAGCAGAGCATGGACTACAGGAGGAAAGGGACACTGTCACTCCACAGAGGGGCCACCACCTTAAAAGCAGCAACAGCAAACACAGTAATTGCCTACTATTCTATTTCCGAAATAAAACCACATAAACCAGTCCAGATTCTTCTGCTTTCCATCAATCTCAGCCACTCTGAGACACTCTCCTCATGGATGCTCTTAGACACTGATACTGCCAATCAACCCAACTGAACTAATGTGATTACAGAGTCTAGCAGAGGGAGTGACTTCTGTGTCCTCTGTCCTGGGGAATGCTAATGGATGCTGCTCAGTGAATATCTGCTCTGATGTCAACAGTTCCAGTTGTGTGGTTAGGGCAGAAAGATCACTTTCCAGCTTTGTCTAGTAAGTAGAGGGCACTATGTTCACTGCCCAGCAAAACAAATAAATCACTTTTCGTGTATGCTAGGAACAAATGCCCAAATGTCCATGAGATAACTGACTAGCCAACGTGAGTACAGAGATGACAATAAAACCCCAATAATGAGGTGCCTTTTGTCTCTGATTTCTCTAACATCATATTCATCAACTACTATTTTAAACTGATGGAAGCTGGTGTGGACCTGCCTGTTACTTCAGCAAAACAGGAGGCTAAGGCAGGAGGATCCAGAGTTTGAAGATGCTGCAGAACAAGAAACAGACGGGAAATTGGAGAGAGGATATGGAAAGGAAGTTAAGCACTAAAAGTCTGGTGAGACAAACGCTTAAGTCACTCCTCAGGGCAAAACTGGAGCAGCACCCCCACAAGCCTGCATCTCCCCAAAACCATTGGTATTACACACTTCCCATTTCTTTGAGCACAAGTATGCGTGTGTAAAGAGGAAACAAGGAATTTCTGAGAAATAAGGTGTAATTGAGGAGCCAAAAATGGTGAATATATAATGCATCCATATTTCCCCGAGGGAACTGAAAAGCCTGAGAACTTTAGTAAAACACTCTGAAAACTGGAAAATGTAATTATAAAGACATTAACACAAAGCGGTTTTAGGAAATGAGAAGAGTGGGTGTGACAGCATTATCCTATGAGCCTAGTACTCAGAAGGCAGAGGCAGGCATGTAACTGAGAGTTCCAAGACAGCCTAGACTACATAGTGAGTTCCAGGCTAGCCAGGTCTACAATAATGAGACCCTGCCATGAAGGTGGAGGAAATAAACAGGATCAAGTGCTAATTTTTTTCTTAATTAAAATTCTTGTTGTTTCCCCTTCCCCAGACCACTAGAAATGTAACTGAGGAACAAGGTCTGTAGCTGGGAGCAGTGGGACACACCTGAGAACCCAACATTCAGAGCCAAGGTGGGGGGGGGTAGAGAGAAGGAATGCCTGGGCTATATGACCCTGTCCTACGCTAACCAAAACGAAGAATAAAATCTGAAACTTTGTATTTTAGTGATGGCTAATCCCTCCTGCAGATGCTTGTCAAGAAATCAGGCTTAATTAATTAATTAATGGGGTCCAGGACCTCAAACACGGAAAGTGTTCCATCAACTGAGCTGCACACCTTTACCAGCCTCAAGGGATCCTTTACCAGCCTCAAGGGATCAGCTTTAAAAACCTAAGGAGTCTATAAAAAACCCAACTGACCCTTGTTGGAATTTCAAATTACTCTTAACCTTTTCTTTCAGAGCAAAGGGTATAGTCAAAAGCACTCAGCAAGCTGAGGCTAGAGAGCTTCCAAAGTCCAAGGCCAGTGTGGGCAACAGGGCAAGACCCTGTCTCTAAAGCAGGGAGAAGGAAAGGGTCTCAGCAGTTTAGAGCACTGGCTGCTCTTCCAGGGGACCTGGGTTCAATTCCCAGCACCCACATGGCAGCTCACAACTGTCTGTAACTCCAGCTCCAGATCCCATACTGCTTTTGGTCTCCTCAGACACCAGGCAGGCAAGTGGTATATAGACATACATGCATGCAAAACATACATATACACCAAGTATTTTTTAATCAACTTTGTAAAAATAACAACACATTCTTTAAAAAGAAAGAAAAACATCAAACAAGACATAAGAGAGACTGTCTTAAGAAACAGTAGCTGAGCAGTGGTAGCACAAGTTTTTAATCCAAGGACCTTGGGAGGCACAGGCAGATGGATCTCTGAGTTCCAGGACAGCCAGGACTACACAGAGAAAATCTGTCTTGAAAAACCAAAAAAAAAAAAAAAAAAAAAAGAAAGAAAGAACTAGTAATAAGTACCTAACAAAGAGCCCGGTAAACGCCCTGCTCCCCAGGAATCCTCCTGAGTCGTCAACTCTGGCACTCCTCCCCTCCTCCCTCATTTAGCTTACCTAGTGTATTTTACAATTAATGGTAAGTTTTGGGTTTTTTTCCTAAAAACTTATTACTAGATGAAACAGACTTACAACATAGTCTACCTGAATGCAAAAAAGCCATTTACAGCAAATAATAAGAAACTGGACTACACAGAGAAACCCTGTCTCAAAAAACAACAAAACAAAACAAAGAAAAAGGAATAATGATAAGTTTTCTTGGTGGCACATAAAATTCTGACGTGAATTACAGAGTTCAAGCTACAGGTAGGACTATATGCCCACAGAAGGCCTAGCACACAGTCACTGCCAAGACCAGCTCCCAGGCTCCTCCTCTAACTTAAATGGATCTCCTGACACAGGGCATTAAAACTTATCGTTAATATTTCATCTGAAAAGGAGGCATGGCCCACAGGAAGGACTCTGTTCAAGGCCTCTGTGACCTCACTTAAATTTGTCTGCATAGTGTGCACTAACACCAGTTACGAAACATGCTGTATCATCTACTTATAGAACAAAACAGTAACCCTTCTCTCTTACGCTGCTTTGAGAAGGTATAAAATCTTAGCAAGTTTTAGGTTGTAAACCCAACTTAGTCCATTTTGTAACTCTTTCCTAGGATTTACTGTGCTTCAAAATCCCACGAGTTACAAACTTTAGAAACAAAAATGAATATTTGGAAGTTGGTGAGTATTCTGATTTGGGCTGCCAAACTAAACAGAAAAAAAGTTTAAACGTAGCTCAGACAGTCTTCAGACTGGATAGACATATAAGGATGACCTTGATCTGCCTCCACCCCCATGTGCTAGGATTACAGGTACTTGTCATCAGCATCAAACAAGTATTTCTGATTAGTCAGATTGAGTGGAGTTCTGAGGAAGTCTTAAGGGGCAAAGCGTATCACTTCATTGTCACAGTAATGACCACATCAAGTCACACGTAGACACTGAATGTACTGTACCCACAGTGCAAAGGGAAGGGGAATAACCATTGCCACATTAGCGCGGGACTTAGAATCATTTATATTAGTTCTTGAAAACATAATCTTAATAAAATGTAACCTCTTTAAGCCAGGCAGGGTGGCTCGTACCTGTAACCCCAGCACTTGGGAGGCTGAGGCAGGAGGATTACTTGGGAGTTGGAGGCCAGCTTGGACTACAGAGTGAGTTCCAGGCCAACCTTTTTCAAAAAACAAAATGAAAACAAAACTGTCTGTTGTTGCTCAAGTACTGTAGATAATCTAGGGCATGGGGCACACCAGGCAAAAGTGAGTCATACTTCTGGTCCAAATTTTTATTTCATTTTTTAAAAAAATTATTTTCGTACATGAATGCTGTTTGCAAGTATGCCTGCAGGCCAGAAAAGGGCATCAAGTCTCATTATAGATGGCTGTGAGCCACCATGTAGGTGCTGGGAATTGAACTCAGGACCTTTGGAAGAGCAGCCAGTGCTCTTAACTGCTGAGTCATCTCTCCAGCCCCCTTTATTTCATTTTTATTTATTTATCTGGCAATGCTAGGGATTGAACCTAGGGAATTGCGCATGCTAGGCAAGTGCTCTACTGTTGAGGTCTAGCTCCAGCCTCCCAATTTTACTTTTATTGATGAAAACATTGGAGTTCTTCTACAATGTAAAAACCCAGAAATAAGAAGCAGCAGAGACAGCACAAAATCTGTGCTAGAACGCCTGTTAAGGCTAGGGGGGAATCTCTATGTATAACTGAAAAGTAAAGTGTAACACAGTAAGTAAGAAAAGGACAGTTTCCCCAGCAATGGACGAAGGCAGGTTTTACACACAGGACAAAATGACCACTACAATACATTCAACAATGCTGGATTCTTAGAATGTGGTTCTCAGAATACCAGATTATTCATTCTGAGACCTGACATGTTGTTCTTCATCTACTCTCACTTTTCCTATTATTTTATACTCAAGATACACATTATATAAAAACAAAATAGGCTATTATTCCAAAATATTTAAATGTCTGGTCTTGCACCTACATTTCAGGCAATCAGTAGGCCTCTTTTCCCCTTGTCTTCAGTGCCGACAATCAAACCCTGGGCCTTGTGAATACTAGGCAACCTGTGTCCTACTGAGCCACACCCCTGGTACAGGAAGCTTTCTTACATTCTGCATTTAAATAAACCTAATTGGGATTTTTGGAACAAAATTTTTTATTACTATTTGTTTATTCTTTTTTCTTTCATTTTTTTCTTTTTTTTTTTTTTCTGAGACAGGGTTTCTCTGTGTAGTCTTGGCTGTCCTGGAACTGGCTCTGTAGATCCGCCTGCAATTGCCTTCTGAGTGCTGTATGGGATTAAGGGTGTGCACCACCATTGCCTGGGCTAAACAGAATTTTTTAAATTACATTTTAAATTGAGTTCTATTGTGTGTGAGGGTACACCACAGACTCCTCTAGTCAAGAGAGGTCAGAGGACAATCTCTGACTCTCTTTCTACAATGTGGGTCCTGGGAATTGAACTCAGATCATTAGGCTGGGTGGCAAGTTCCTTTATCCACTGAGCAGCCACCTCAGGAGCCCTTAACTTTAAAAAAAAAAAAAAAAAAAAAAAAGATACAAAATTGAGCATATCCATTCATTATTTGCATTTTACAAATATGCCACACTATCCCACTAAAAGACTTAGATGTGATGTGGAAGTAATATTGTTCACATAAAATGGAATCATGAAACGTTCAATTTGAGCCTTCAAACACATGAAAGATAAAAAAGCCTCCCCAGACTGCAGCTGTAGTCTGGGTTTGCACTACTCTGCAAAGGTACACCTACTTTTTGAACCACATGATTTCTTCAGGGTCTGAGATGCCAAACTCCCTCATCTTCTTCACCATGGTGGCACTCTTCTTAACAGCCACCTCGTAGCGTTGGCTGCGAGTGAGGAAGTTATAGTCTTCATGCTGGAAGTCTGGATCGTTCAGAATCATGTTCTCTGCAAGGCAGAGAAACGACATCAAGAGAAACCCCATTCAACCTCCCGGAACCCCAGCGGGTTAGAACGGAGGGCGGTCCTCTCCTAAGTAGGGAGTCCCGGCTTCCCCTAAACTCCAGAGACCCCAAGTTCTTATTCACGGGGTCTTCCCCGTGAAGAGGGAGGCCTGACCCTCCGGCCTCACCGATTTCTCGGCGGCGCCGGGTGTTCTCTGGGCTGCCATCCAAGACGTGCGTGATCAGCTCCGGATTGAAGGTGGCGGCGGCCCGCTCCTTGCGCAGGTCGGGGTTCATGGTGGCGGCCAGTGTTGGTGGCGGAGGAGGTGGCGACAGAAGTGACAGGCACCGAAGCGACGACCCTTGTCTGCAGCCGAAGCGCAGAGCCGGCCCTAAGAGCTGTTCCGAGACGGCCCGAGGCCCCGCCCCGCCCGCTCCGGCACGCCCCGTCCCCGCCGCCACTCCCCGCGTGACCGGCCGCGATCCCAGACGCCGGGACCGCCCGCCGGACGGACGAATCCCCTGCTGCGAGCCAGGGGAGGTCCCTGAGCGGCTCCTCGCCAAGGAGACCAAGGTAGAAGGTCAAGAAACCGCGGTAGAGCGGGAAGGGGAGCGGGGCGATCGCCGGAGTCGCTTCTCCAGGCTCACGTGATCTCTCCGGGCGGAAAGGAGGGACTTTGACGCCCAGGAGACGCGCGCAACGGATTGGCCAGGGCCTTGAGGGGCGGGATTGCGCCTGCGCCGTGGGACTCACCTAGTTCCAGGCTTTGGGGTCCTCTCGCTAGACTCTCCCGGCAAAGGAGAAGGGGAACGGGTGTCAAGGGCCGAGGGCGGGATGAGGAGGCTAGTAGAGGAAAGATGTTGGTTCTAATGGAACCCACCCAAATTGGAGCAAAAGGGGACCAGGACAAAGGTCATGTCCGGGAGAAGGTTCATTACCATCGGTTAAAAATACTGGCGACTGACCTTAGAGGCATGGGCCTGGCCCTTGCGAAGCTTCCCGGCTTATGCAGTGGACATTGATTTAAAGTGAGAGGGAACGGGAGGTGTTTCTCTACATTTTATAATCCAAGACATTTTCCTCCTAACCTGGCAGGACCTAGAAGTTTTGAAATCCAGACTTTGGTTATCTTTATAATCGTCATCGAAGACGTAAATGTACACATGCCTAAGAAGCTCCAGCGTACGATTTATAACAGAGTTCCTTTAGCCTCAGAGATAGCCAGTTTCCACCAATTTGTTTTTTAGTTCTTATTCCTTTAAAAAGTGCCAAATTGCCGAGCATGGTGGTTCGTGCCTTTAATCCCAACACTCGGGAGAGTTCAAGGCCATCCATCCTGGTCTACAGAGAGTTCCAGTACAGCCAAGGCTACACAGAGAAACGCTGTCTCGAAAAACAAAAACAAACAAACAAAAGTGCTAAGTAGTGGGCTGGAGATGCAGCTCAGTACAGTCCTTGTCTAGCATGCACGGAGCTCAAGATTTGATCCCAAGCACCACATAGACTGGGCACGGTGGCACAGGTTTATAATCCCAAATTGAGATCTAAGGATCTAGAAGTTCATTGCATTCTCAGCTGTGTAGAGTTTGAGGACAGCCTGGGCTGTGTTTTGGGCTGTTTCAAAGTCTTCAAGTACTAAGTGAAACGCACTTTCTTCATTTCCTTTAGCTGTCTTTTGACTTCACGCCAAAAGGGAGAACTACAGTTTGTTACCTCTCTCTAACTTGCCCTTGTAACAACATATTTAAGACCCATTAACGTTAATATTACCTCGAGTGGGTAAAATGAATGATTTATCTTGAAAACAAAATTTAAGGAAGCCCCCAAATTCAATATTTTAATGCAATGTTTTTTCTTGGTGCAGGAGATGGACCTCTTAGCTACAGCCCCAAAATATGTATAAGTTCAAAAGAGAAAATAAGCAAAATACTAAAAATTGAAAGACTATAATATCATTGTTGCCAATTGTACCTTTGCCTCAGGCTGCAATTTGCCTGATCAAGGTTTGATCATGCTTTGTTACTGAGGCTGTTTTCAAAGACACTCCCCAAGCACTGATACATTATTTAGTTTGGTTATTGTGAATTGTATTCCTCTTATCAAAAGCTTGTATCCCAAATACAATCAGCACAAGCTATTGATGAGATAAAACGGAGGTTAAGGTTATTACTTGATGGGGTAAAGGGGAAACACTGCATGACAAACCTTTGGCAGTGACTTGGAGAGGGGAAGATCTGCTCAAACTTAGTGACGACTGCAAGTTCGACCTGGTCTGTTGGCACAGACCTGGAATCTCAGCTACTTAGGAGGCTGAGGCAGGAGGATCACAGGTTCAAGGTCAGCCTGAGTTCAGAGAACTGTTAATTTGGTTTAAAGCTGCTCCTTCGACTGTGAGTCTTAATTATAGTTGTGTAAGAATCACAGTACATGTTGGGTGTGGTAGTAAACACCTTTAATCCCGGCACTGAAGAGGCAGAGGCAGGTGGATCTCTATGAATTCCAAGCCAATCAAAGCTACATAGTGAGACTCTGTCTCAAGACAACAACGGAAGAATCACAGTACAAAATTGGAGATGACAAGGTGAGGGGATTCAGATAACCTCAGAGGGCAGACTGGCAGTTAATGTTGTAGCCATTCACCAGGATGGACAGTCCAGGCAGAGGTAGAAATGCAGATGAAGACAGAATTCTGGCAGATTTACATTCACGCAGATAGTAAGGTATGGCTTTAGCTCAGTGCCCAGCAAGTGTGGGGTGGGCGGCTTTAATCTTCATCCTGTTCATGGATCTAGCCATCCATTAATATTTAATAATGTCGCCGGGCGGCGGTGGCGCACGCCTTTAATCCCAGCACTCGGGAGGCAGAGCCAGGCGGATCTCTGTGAGTTCGAGGCCAGCCTGGTCTCCAAAGCAAGTTCCAGGAAAGGCGCAAAGCTACACAGAGAAACCCTGTCTCGAAAAACCAAAAAAAAAAGAAAAAAAAAAAGAAAAGAAAAAAAAAAATTTAATAATGTCCCAGAAACTGGTAGATGAAAAGAACATAGTGTTAAGACTTATTACGTGTGTGTGTGTTTTGCGGGGGGGCACCCCTGAGGGTATCCCCCGAGTGCAGGGAAACATGCTGGGCAGATGCAAGCCATGCAGGCATGGCAGTGGCGGCCAGTAATTCACAACCCAGATGCTGCATCCATGTGGAGAGTTTATTATAATAGAGAGATGAAGAGAAAGAGAAGAAGAGAGAGAGAGATCGAGGGTACGCACCTTGAGGGAGGAAAAGGAGAAGAGAGAGAGGAAAGGGAGGAGTTTTTCCTTAGAATGAGGATTTTATGTCAAGATGCAGGGCAGCACCAAGTGGGGGGATTTCAAGGGGCAGATCAGAATATTAACACATAGTCATCAGAATCCCTGCCTCATGGGGATGATAATCTGGTGAGTAAAACAAGAAAACAGACGGACCTGTTTGAAACCTGATTATTTAGTAAACTGTATGAATGAAGTATGCTAATGAGGGGCTGCAGAGTGAGCAGGCTATAGAGAATGCAATTGTAGAGGTAGAGGAGGAAGACGCTCTATCAAAGAGATATCTAAAAATACCTGAAATAGAAGGGACCTAGAAGAGAAGAAACAGTTACGTAAGGTCTGGAAAAGAGAAACTGTTCACATTGGGCTGATGAGATGCTCAGTGGATAAAAGCCCTTGCCTCCTGAAGGTGCAAGCCTACAGGCCTCAGAACCCACATAAAGGTTTTGAAAGAGGAGAATTAACTCCACGAGGTTGTCTTCTGACCACCACTGTGTGCTATGACATGCATGTGCCTGCACATACACCGACAATAAATGCTATTTATTTAAAAAAAAAAAAAAAAAAAAAAAAAGGCTTGTCAGAAGTCAGAAGCAGGGAGAGCTCTGTAAGTTCAAGTCCAGTCTGGTCTACTACATAATGTTTGTTTAAGTTCAAGTCCAGCCTGGTCTACTACATAATGTTGTTATGGTTGCAGGCCAGCTAGAGCTACGTCGTGGTTTTTGTCTTAAAACTAACTGAATAAAACCTGCTTGAGAATCAGGAAGAGCTCAACTAAGGCTGTGAGTTGATCATGAGCCAGAGGAAGGGGGAAGGGAAAAAAGGGTAAAGTCGGCCACTGCCCACCCAGTGTGGCACCATGGACCAACCTAAGACTGAGTTCTGTTAGTTATAGTGAGGGGTTGCCCTTCATGCTGTTTACAGGGTGTCCTGTGTCTGACCGCCACGTGTGGATTTTCACTTTTGAACACTCAGGAATCCCAATAGGGGAATCAAGAAGCAGTTCACCTTTCACCCAGATTCCCTAGTTAACGATTGTCACAGTGGCTTTACTGGTCACCTGCAGGTCAGCTTTGTTTATTCACTTTCTCTTTTTGAGCTGTCTGAGGAAACTGTGGAAGTCCTCCATTGCTTACAGATATTTAGGGATTTCCTAAAAATAAAAACATTTGCAAGATGATTATGGTTAAGATAATTTAATGTTGACGCAACACTCCTGTCTAATCTACATTGCTTTTTATGGCTTTACTGTTGTCCATTACTGTCCTTCACCAGGTGTTTTACTCATCTGGAATCTAATCTAGCATCATAAGCGATACTGTGTTACCTGCCGGGGGCTGGTGAAATCACAGAGTGACTTAAATAACACACACTTACAGGCTCATCTCTGAGAGCAAGAAATCTGAGGTCAGAATGTCCACAGAGCTTCATATAGCAGTGCACCACTCTAAATGCCAGCAATTGGGAAGCTGGGCCAGGAGGAAGAGAGTTAGAAGCCAGCCAGAGCCACGGAATGAAACCCAGTTGTAAAATGTCCAAGGACTGGAGAGACTGCTCAGCAGTTAAGAGCACTTGCTGCTCTTGCAGAGAACCTGAGCTCAGTTCCCACCACCCATGTCAGGTGACTCACAACTGCCTGAAACTCTGTTCCCAGGAGACTGATACTCTCTTCTAGCCCACAGGCATACACACCTGCACATACACACACAGAAGTAAAAATCTTTTTTAAAAATGAATGTGCCGGGTGGTGGTGGCACAGGCCTTTAGTCCCAGCACTAGGGAGGCAGAGGCAGGCAGATCTCTGTGAATTCGAGGCCAGCCTGGGCTACAGAGTGAGTTCCAGGAAAGGCTCCAAAGCTACACAGAGAAACCCTATCTCAAAAAACCAAATAAATAAATAAATAAATAAAAATAAAAATGAAGATAAGGGCCTAGAGAGATAGCTCAGTGGTTAAGAACTCTTACTGTTCTTGAAGGGGGCCCAGGTTCCCAGCACTCACGTGGCGGCTCACAGACATCTGTAACTCCAGAGGCACCAGGCACGCAAGTGGTGCACAGACATACATGCGAGTAAGCCACCCGTGCACATTTTAAAAATAGCTTTAAAAAGGAGCTCTGGGATGGGTTACTTCCAGTTCCTGCAGTACTGGGGATCCAACCCACGCTAGGGCAGCACTCTACCAGCCGAACTGCATCCCAGCTCCAAGTTGCAGCCAGGACGTGTTGGGATTAAAGGCACAAGTGGCCCAGGTTACCAGCTTGTAGCCAGTGTTGGATTAGAATGAGTCAGGCTCCTTTGTTTCTGTGTTATCTATAGCTATTCTCAAATGGCAGGGGCTGGAGAGATGGCTCAGCAGTTAAGAGCTCTGGCTATTCTTTCAGAGGACCTGGGTTGGATGTCCAGCACCCACATGGTAGCTGACAAATGTCAGCAGATCCTTTACCCTCTTCCAGCTTCCTCAGGCACTGCTCATACTCAGTGGACAGGCATACTTGCAGGCAAAACACACATAAAAATAAAAATGAGATGGCTGATAGAAGCGGCGATAGAGACCTCCATCCCACAGAGATGGAATACATATGTGCATCTTTTTGGGAGGTGTTTCAAGACAGGGTTTCTCTATGTATCCCTGCTGTCCTGGAACTCATTATATAGACCAGGCTGGCCGCAAACTCAGAGATTCACCTGCCTCTGCATCCCAGTACCAACTGATATGTGTTTCTTTACAGACCCCTGCCCTATGGAATTGATGGAGAATGGAGACTGCAGTGGGAACAGTACTTCCCCTGTAGCTTTTATTTATGTACAATGTATATGTGTGTCAGTGTGTGATGCAGGCTTGTGTATTAACATGTGAGCTCATAACATATCAAAGACATCACAACCCTTCCTGCTGGAGCTAGTCTTCCGGATGTGGCTGGTCTCTCATGTCTTATGGTTGGCTTGGTTTATCAGGAATCTTCAAAACTCCATCCCAAAACTATTTGGTTCCTGGTGCCATCAATGCTGCCCAAACCTGGTATCTATTACTTCCCCTGGGAAGTCAGTGATGGCCAAGTTCCTGATGGAAGCACACTGCGAACGTTTGGCAGGTAAGAATGGTCATCCCTTCATGTGACAGGGGTGGTTAAATAACTCCCCTTCAAATAATCTCAATTAAAATGGTTTTAATATAATTTTGCCTAATTATAAATACACACACACACACACACACACACACACACACACACACACACACATATATGACAGGGTCTCACTGCGTAGCCCCAGCTGACTTGGAATGAGCCATGTAGACCAGGCTGACCTTAAACTCACAGAAATCTGCCTGCCTCTGCTTCCTGAGTGCTGGGATTAAAGGCATGTGCCACTGCCGCCCGGCTGTATTATTTGTTTTAATACAAATAACCCACAGAGGAGTAAAGAAAGCAGAAATCACATGTGGTATTATTGTCCAGACAACCATTGATAAACTTTGTGACCACTCTATACTTTCTCATGTGTATATGTGTGAGTGATCATCTGGGTGGAGGTGGCTACATACTTACATGCATGCATATGCATGCATACATACATACATACATGCATACATACATACATACTACGTTAGTTGTATACTGTTAATCCACAGATCACCTGAACATAAAGCAACACCAAGCATAGTAACACACACCTGTCATCCTAGCTGGGGAGGCTGGTGCAGGAGGGTCTCAGGTCCAAGGTCGGCTTGGACAGCTTGGCAATGTACTGTCTTAAAAAAGAACAAAAGAAGCTGGGCATGGTGGCTCATGCCTTTAATGCTAGGCCTTGGAAGCAGAGGCAGGTGAATTTCTGTGAGTTCAGGATCAGCCTGGTCTATATATTGAGTTCCAGACCAGCCAGGGATGCATAGTGAGACCTTGTCTCAAAATAAAAAATGGACAAAATTCAAAGCAAGAGTAAGAAAATTGAAAGGCAGTTGCCTCCCATCCATAAGGGAAGTGGGAAACACTTGTTCTGGTCCGTGGCTTATATTTTATTTTTGGATCTGATTGAGGGCAATCGTGGACTTCCAGGTAGTTGTTGGCCTCCTCTATGGAGCTTGGTGGTAGGCTTGTTGGTGAGTGGAAATGTTCACGCGTCCTCTGCCCTCCAGGTTGTGCCTCTACGACATGGCACGCTCCCTTGTGACCCTGACTGCGCAGCACAGATCCGAACAGTGTCAGCTGCACGTCTGCACCAAGCTGGTGGAGCCCTTTGAACCACACGTGGACTTTCTGTACATGGTTCTTGGGGAGCTGGAGCATGATGAGGGTAAGCTGTGCTCCCTAAAACCTGCTTCACTCTGTCTCTTGAGCTGGGGCGTCTTTGTCTTTTATGTAATCAAGAATGCACTGGGCCTGGGACACACAGCTTTAATCCCAACACTCAGGAGGCAGAGGCAGGCAGATCTCTGTGAGTTCCAGGCCACCCTGGTCTATAGAGTGAGTTCCAGGACAGCCAAGGCAAAACAGAGAAACCCTGTCTCAGACAAAAACAAAAAATAAAAGAATCAGGGAAATGTGGGGGTGGGGATATAGCTCAGTTGGTAAAGTTCTTGCCGTACACATGTGAGGACCTGAGTTCAGATTCCCAGAACACACTGAAACTCTATAGGTGTCTGATTCCAGTGTTCCTACAGGGAGGTAGGGAGCAGAGACCAGACTGGTATATACCATGGTGAGCAAGAGACCTTGCCTCAAACAAGATGGAGGTGAGGACTGACTCCTAATATTGTCCTCTGATGTCTACACATGTGCCGTGGCATACACAAGCCAACACAAAGAACTAAAAAAAAAAGTCCAGGCAGTGGTGGCGCACGCCTTTAATCCCAGCACTCAGGAGGCAGAGGCAGGTGGATCCTTGTGAGCTGGAGGCCAGCCTGGTCTGCAAAGTGAGTTCCAGGACAGCCAGGACTGTTACACAGAGAAACCTTGTCTCGAAAAACCAAAAACGAAAATAAAGGAGGAATGGATTGGCCTGTCCTATGATCTACTGGGGTTACTGTTGCTTACAGATCAGCCCCGGAGGTCAAGGACTCTTAGGAAGCAGGTGTGACTGGACTCTGGTGGACCAGCCATGTGGTGCCACGTCAGAAAAGGGATGGGGAGTGACCAAAGAGAAGTCAGGTTTCTGAGGGTCTGTGTGTGATGATGTAATTTGCTAGATCTTCAAATGTGCCCACCAGCCCTTAATCTATGTCTTATGGCTCCTTCACTAAAACCAAAACTCAAGAGAAGACGGGGCCAGGAAGTCAGGGCAAGAGAAATAAAATGCACAAGGAGGAATAGAAACAGTCTGGAACAGCCATCTTCCTGCATGAAGAATAGAAGACAAGGAGGGAGTATGGCCAAGTGGGAGATGCCCAGCATGCATCAGTCCTGGGTCCCAGCAGCAGCCTAAAAAAAAAAACAAAAACAAAAGCAAGAGTTGAGCAGGCTGAGCTCCTGGGTCATGGAGAGGACGGCATGACTGACTCCTGGGGTGGAGATGCTTATCACCGACATCCTGTGGGGGGTGTGCTGAGTTTATATCCTCATTTTCACATGCATTTGCTTCCCTAACCCCGTTATCAAAGGAATGTTGCTCACTGTAGAGCATTTAAAGAGTAAAAGGAAAGAGGAAAGGGGCTGAGGATGGAGCTCAGCAGCGGAGCACTTGGCTGCCTTGCATAAGGCTCTACTTAGTCACCAACAGTGCAGAGATGGAGGAGGGAAGAAAGAAAGAGACAGGAAAAGGTCACCGTTGATCCTACCCAGAGACAGGAACTGTCACTAACCTTGCACGGTGCCCCTCCACTACTTTCCACTTTTGTATTATTAGAAAAAAATGTCTCCTTACAGTGTCCTGTCTGGTTCCACCCTGAGTTCAACTGATTCTCTTGCCTCAGCCTTCTGGGTGATCGGCTCTGCAGGGCATGGTGCAGTACCTGACTTCAGTAGTTGGTAGGCCGCCTGTCTGCCTACTCTCTCTCAGCAGACAGCGAGGAGTTTTATTTAAATGGACAGTACAGGGGGCTGGAGAGAAGGATTATCAGTTGAGAGTACTTGTTGCTCTTGCAGAGGATCCCTGTTCAATTCTCAGCACCCTATAACGCCAGGCCCAGGGGATCTAACACCTCATTTGGCCTCCACAGGTACTGTATGTATGTGATGCACAGACATACATGCAGGCAAAACACCTATACACGTAAGATAATAAAGTAAATAAATCTTTAGAAAATGATAAGTGAGATACAGTACAGAGTCCACTACCAGGGAGCAGTAGGCAGCTTCAGCTGGAATGTGTCTGTGGGTTTTGTTTTGTTTTGTTTTGCTTTTTTTAAGTTTTTAAAAACCATTTAACGCCGGGCAGTAGTGGTGCACACCTTTAGTCCCAGCACTCGGGAGGCAGAGGCAGGCAGATCTTTGTGAGTTTGAGGCCAGCTTGGTCTACAGAGCGAGATCCAGGAAAGGTGCAAAGCTACACAAAGAAACCCTGTCTTGAAAAAAATAAATAAATAAAATTTTTTAGTGTGTGTATGTGTGTGTGTGTATGTGTGTGTGTGTGTGTGTGTGTGTGTGTGTGTGTGTGTGTGTGTGTGTGTGTGTTGTTGTTGTTGTTTTTGAGACAGGGTCTCGTGTATCCTGGGCTAGCCTCAAATTAGCTATATAGTTAAGACTGGCCTTAAACTTGTGATTAGAGCTGGAAAGATGGCTCAGCAGTTAAGATCATTGTTCATTCCTGCAGATAACTACACCTGTTGTGATATATTCACAGCACCCCGAATGGCAGCTCACAACTGTCCATAACTCCAGTTTCAGGGGCTGTGACAGGCTTGTCTGTTCTCTATAGACACAAGGCTTGCACATAATACACAGACATACATGCAAACACTCATACACGGAAAATAAATATATCTGGAAAAAAAAAAACAAAACAAACAGAAAACCGGGGGGTGATGGCACACACCTTTAATCCCAGCACTTGGGAGGCAGAGGCAGGAGGATCTCTGTGAGTTTGAGGCCAGCCTGGTCTACAAGGCCAGTTCCAGGACAGCCAGGACAAGAGAAACCGTGTCTTGAAAACAAACAAACAAACAAAAACCTTGTGGTCCTCCTGCCTCTGCCTCCCAAGTGCTGGGGTGACATGCATGCCCCACCAGACCCAGCTATGAAATGAAACTCCCCTCCCACCCCTTTGCTTTGCTTTGGGACAGAAACTCTCACTGTATAGCCCAGGCTGGCCTTGAATTTATGGTCTTCCTGCCTCTGACTCCTGACTACTAGGATTTCTCATATATGGAACCACAGCCAGCTAAATTTTTAGACTTTTCTTAGCATTTTAAAAATAACTTACCAAATTGGGTATTTATGTATTTTGAGGCAGGATATCATTTCATACCTCAGGTTGACTGGAATGTACTACATCGTAGACCATGCTGGCCTTGAACCCACAGCAGTCCTTCTGCCTTAGTCTCCCACATGCTAGGATTATAGGAGTGTGCCAATGTACCTGGCTGTTCCTTAGCTTTTCTGTTTGTTTTTTAGATAGGTCTATGTAGCCCAGGCTGTCCTGGAATGTACTGTATAGACCAGTCTGTCCTGTTGGCCTCAAGTGACTTGAATCTTCTGACTCATCCAGAAGGATTAAGACTAGCAGCATGGACTACCATGCCTAGTACACTTATGTCTCTTAATTTATACTTTTAAAAATCCATGGGCTGGAAGATGGTTGGGGGTTAAGAACACTTGCTCCTCTTGCAGAGGACCTGGGTTTGGTTCCCAGCAACCAAATCTGGTAGTTCACAACTGCCTATAACTTCAACTCCCCTTCTGGACTGTGCGGTCTCTTCACCCATATTCATTCCCAGTCTCACACACACACACACACACACACACACACACACAATTAAAAATAAAATCTTAAAAAAAATTTATAGTGAGTTATAACCTTGGATGAAATACATTAATGAAATTTGTTAATTAAATAGGGAAATTAATTAGTTTAAAAATAGAAATTAGCCGGGCAGTGGTGGCGCACGCCTTTAATCCCAGCACTCGGGAGGCAGAGCCAGGCGGATCTCTGTGAGTTCGAGGCCAGCCTGGGCTACCAAGTGAGTTCCAGGAGAGGCGCAAAGCTATACAGAGAAACCTTGTCTCGAAAAACAAAACAAAAAAAAAAAAAAAAATAGAAATTAATTAAATGGTTGATTTTAATTATATTGGGGTTTTTTGTTTGTTTGTTTTTTGTTTTTGTTTTTTAAGATAGGGTTTCTCTGTGTAACAGCCCTGGCTGTCCTGGACTCACTTTGTAGACCAGGCTGGTCTTGAACTCACAGAGATCTGCCTACCTCTGCCTCCCAAATGCTGTATTGGATTTAATAAAAGTTCATCTCACTCAGATTTAAGCTTTGAACATCAAAGTTCCTATCCTCATAATTGATTTGGCACAGATGTGAGAGGAGGCACAAAGGGCCTTTTATCTTTAAAGAAAAGACAATTTCATGACTGCGTGTGCGCACACGCACGTTCATGTTTGCCTCAGCATGCGTAAATGTGCTGGTATGGTGCTCCTTAAGGCCAACTCTCCAGCTGCTGTTTGATTTTTTTTTTTTTCCTTATAACTTTTTCTGCATTTTTCTGAGTACTTCATACATGCCACTCTGATCTTGAGTGAGGAGTTAAAGAGCAAGCAGTGGGTGGAGCCCTGTGTAGGCTGAGTGTGGCCATGTCTGTCCTGACCTCTCACCTGGGCAGAGGGTATACTGTGCGGGTGCTTTCAACCTTCCTGGGCATGGCCTTAAGTCCTCTCTGGGTGCAAAGGTCCATCAAACATGTGTTGTGCCCTGTGTCCAGGTTGAAAGTCCTGAGGACGAAGGAGAGGTTAGTTAGAGGAACTTTGCTAACGTTTCCTGTAGAGCCAGCCACAAGACTAGTGTGAGACAATGCGAGCTATGAGATGAACTCCTAAGATGTGACAGCTCCTGGTACCACCCACGGGCCTGAGGGGCTCCTGTCTGGACATGAGGTGTTTCTGACCACTTCCCCAGTCCAAGGGTTCCCGGCTTTGTAATTAGCAATAATCACACTTTGTATACGCCCCACTGGCTGTAAGAACTGCCACTTCACAAATCTCATTTCTGCTCTTTTCAAAACTGCTGTAAAAAGTTGAATTGGCTCGTGGTGAGTGTATATGCATATTATAGGGCACAAGGTGACATTTTAGTACTTGTCCATGATAGATAATGAATGGCCACATACAACAATTGGCATATCAATCTCTGTAGACATTTC